TTCTTTTATACTGTCTGCATTTATTACCGCTTCTCGACATTTCTTTACAAAATCCGTTAATTGGAAAATTTCAATTTTGTTTTGCGATATTCGAAAACCTTTAAAATCCGTGGCTATCATAATCAAATTTAGCTGTTGTTCACTATACATATTTGGCTATGCATCATGAACTTGGTGACTAATGACGAGTTGTTACGTTAAATTTTATCTTGCTTCTATGACGCACTAAGACAATTAAGCTTCAATTGCATTAGTTTAGTTACTTATATACTTATGCCTATTTCTTGCACATGCTTAAGGCTTATCAAAAGTTCTGAATAAAAAAATTCCCACACATACTTAAGTCTTATTAAGGGCCTGCGCTAGATATCTTACCGCCTGATGCAGTCTCTGTGGGCCCTAAATTCCGAGACCCGGTGCCGCCTTACGAGCCCTGGCACTGGTTCTGGGTTTACGTGAATAACAAATCAGATATTCTTAATTCAAATAGCCCTAAATGTAATCTTTAGGTCTATGAGTATCATTAATAAAATCTATTTCTAGTATATGGAAAGAAATTTTTGTTAAATTTTTCCTCGTCAAGATTTTTTAGCACATTTAACTTAAATCTGTAATCATCGCCAAGCATAATGTCAACATAAAAGGTTACCATACTCCTTTGTTATTCAAATACTAACAAAAAAAATTGCTTGGGAATCGCTACATGAGTCGTTACTCAAGATGCCAGTTGTTGATAAACATGCAGTGATGAAAGCAAAGTATAATAATGATTCGCCAGGTTGGCATCAAATCAACAATGTATCTATGTGGAGTGTGTTGGTTTGAGATGTGTGCAAAGCAGATATGCAATGAGAAAAACATTATTGGTGATTTTGAGGTCCGGATTTTAGATCATTCCAGATAATGGATGTTCGTATTTCGGACTTTGTACTGTATATGAGAGAGTCACAGTCTTTAGGATTTGACAGTCAGTCATTTTGGGGTACTTTTCCGTTTTGCCGGGGCTAACGATTAAATTTGCCAATAATAGTACAACTGATGCCAAATAGAATATCTTCACTGGTAACCTTTTACACTTCATTTTCAAAACAAGTTGCAGCACCATTTCATTAGATCTTATCAGATTGTTTGTTTCTATCAATGCTGGCATACAATTACATAGAATTTTTACTAAAAGATAGTTCAATTTCATGCCGTAAGTTCCATTCGCAGTAATTAAGTCAATTAGGAAGCAATCACACTGCTCACTCGAAGGCGAAAATATAGGAAAGGCAAAATTAAGGGTTAAATTCATCAATTCTAATGAGAATGCACTAGCGAAGGAAAGTGCTGTGGGTTTTACATAATTTTTTAGTAAGCTATTTGTACGAATTGAAATAATTCTTACATTTAAACTTGTATTCCAAATTAAGATTTAACTTGAAATTAACGAAGATAATTACTGAGAGAATTATATTTTTGTAGCGTAGTTTACATGGCAGAGATCACTTTGAGTTACGTGGTATGAATCGGTGAATCAGGATGTTGCACCATGGAAGCATAGTAAATTCTTAAATTAATGTCTTTTTACAAATTTAGTCTTTATTTATTGGCTTTTTATGAAATTTTAAATCATATTAATATGTTTATGTCTTCAAAATAAAAAAATTCTTAGAACTAAAATTTTTATGTGTATACTGTATGCTGTTGCCAACAAAGTCTGCTTGGCGAGATATGCGCCGGCGAAACGGAAAAGTACCCATTTTTGTTACCAACTCCACAACCCTAATAGTGGGAAGGATTTTATGACGCATTCATTAGAACTAATTAAGATACAATAACACGGAGAACAAATTTTGATTTATAAGTCAAACAACAAAAATCAGCATTATATTTTCAAATTTCGCAGGACTAGTTTCGATGGTTTTAACCTTAACAAGGATGAACCTTTGCACTTTTGCAGCTGAGGATGATGGTTCGGTAAAACCATCTGTGAAAACCTGTGAAATTTGAAAATAGAATGCCGTATTTTTTGGTTGACTTCTAAATTAAAATTCATTAGAACTGTTAAAGAATGTTTAAGAAAGATTGTAGAGAAAGCATTGTTCACTTTCAAAGTAATGTTTACACTACTCTTTGAGGTTGAGTCAGTCTTTAATTATGACCACTAAGCTATGTTTATAATGAAAACGACGAGCCACAGCACTCAACTACAATGCTCTTCCTAAATAGTGGACAAACTAATCTGAAGCATTTCCTGACTCTTGCAAGTATCATCAGTAACAAAACAACAATTGAAAACATTATCAACACCATGACATTATTATGAAGAGAAAACATCATCAAGAATTGCTGTTGAAACAGTTGTAGTGTATGTGAAAGCAGTAAATAATATACTATACTGTAATGGGTTGCCTATTTCGTCAACACTGGGCATTGCCTTATGAATATTTTCATAAACGTGCTGATTATCAGAAAGTATAAAAAAATCAAATAGTAGGCATAAAATTAAAAATGGCATTCAGCATAGCATGCATTTCATCTCTGGAATGCATGTGATGTCGCATGAACACAAGTAAATGTTGGTAGGCAATACCATTCTGGCATTTACTGTACTATCTCACCTGCTCTGAATACACTGAATAACACCCATTGTCCAAGTCAGAAATGGTAAGCATGCAAAATGTCTATCTACATGCAAAATGGAAGATTTACTTACATTCAAAAAGTTAGAAAATGCAATAGTTCTATGTGCAACTATCTTACTCTACTGCAGCAAATCACAAAATACAGTACAATGATGACAGGGAAAGCTATGATTAAATGAAAAACTTGGTTGTGCAAGCAATAGTAAAAACAATTCTTCAGAAACAAAGCCAAAGCAAACTGCCAATAAGAAAATATGCGAATCCCGCACCCAAAAAAATGCCAGGTGATAAGACATTAAAAAAAAAATAACCAAAAAGAAAGGTTTTTCATACTATTTCTGAAAGAAATACTAAAATATATATTTAAAACTATTTATTATGTGTTTAACATCAAATTAATATTTTATCTTGATACTCTAGTCATCAAAATTAACGGATAACGATAGAAATAAAATTAAACAATACTTAATGAAAAATTATTTATAGAAATTTTGTATAGATTTATACAAAAGCATTAATTAACATAAATTACAATGTTTAGCAGTTGATTATTTGCAAAATATTGAAATTAAAACCAAATTTATGGAAATATAGAAAACAATAGAAAAATTAAGTCACTTTTGTGAAAAATGTTTTTTTTTAATATGGTGCATAGTCTCCTTGGACATATATTCACACCTCACATCATGATTTCATAGACTAAAAAGTGTTGATCAAATATTGCGGAATTTCATGCTACCCTTCTAAAAGTGCACTTTTCAACTCTTGGAGGATCCACGGAGGAATCTGGCACATTGAAATTCGGCACCCCGAGACATTCCACAACTGCTCAGTTTGGTTCAAGTCGGTTTAATAAGGTGGTCAGTCCGTTCAAGGGATACTTTCTGTTTGCAAGTATTCTGACAGCACCTATGCTCAATGAGATTGAGCATTGTCATCCATTACCAAAAACTGTGCCAACAACTAAACAGTCTAATTTGGGGTAATAACCCCATCTATGTATCCTCCCAGCGGTTACAGTGCACCCTTTAAAGATTTGCAGCTTGGTGCTGTCAGTTCTCATGATTCCTCCCCAAATCATTAAACCACGGTCACGGAAATTAGATTTTTCATGGACAAGAGAAAGCAAGTTATGTGTTCCTTCCTCTCTCCAGATCCAAACATGTCTAAAATCACCTAGATCTGGACTCGTAAGTAAACAATACTCAAGCCCAATTGTCTTAGCTCCACTGAATATGACGATGACACCAGTTTAAATGGGGCCGTCAGGAAGTTGAAGTGAGTCGGACACAAATCACTGGTTTTCTTACACATAATCCAACCTTGTTAAGCCTTCATACATTAGTAGAATGGCTAATTCGAGTTCCTGTGGCAGCCTAAAGGTCTAAAACCAAATCTCTTGTAGTCGCTTCACAGGTTCTTCAAGGCGACAACAGAAAATGGCCTTCTGATGCAGCTGTTGCTCTCAGACACCCACCAACAAGCTGTCTGTCAATTGATCCAGTTCTTAAAAAGCAGCTTCAAACTCTTGATATGATATTTTGAGTGATATTGAAAATTTCGGTGACCTCCATTTGTGTTTGGCTTCCCTGAATTATATCAATTATTTGCAACTTTTGATCTTTGATCCACTTTTGATCTGAAATGATGCCTTTGAGTCATAACTACTGAATACCGATAACTCTCAGAAATCACATTCACTTTAAAAAACACTACAGAATTCCAGCATACGTCCACTGTGTGCCACATCGTCAATCACTGAATTTGGATACTTCAGGCACTAACGTATGTGCAATTTTGTGTTTAACTGTATTTAATAAACATAAATAATTCCGGCATTGGTTGCAACGTTAACTTAGTGAGCACATTTTTTCTAATTATCCTTTAATTTTGATGACCAGTGGAATATTTATATTTTCTGTTAATTACTATTTGCTATTAATGTCGTCTTGAAACATTTCACTACACAACTAATTACAGTAGCATATTTTTTCAGATCAAACTTTGAAATTTTCTTGAACTAATTCTAAAAAATAAAAATTTGCGAGTTTCAAGTGATATTATATATTAAACCACAATTTCCTGTATGCTCTTAAATGGTGCAAATGTCACCTAATCAGTAGCACAGCTGGGGGGATGAAAGGGTTCCCAGGCACAGCATGCAGAGGAAGCCAAATTGATGCTCTGCATAGCATTCTGGCAAATAGGAGGGGACATGAAATCTTCAGTTTCCCTGGCACTGAAAATACTACTAACTATGCCTCTGCACGCAATTGTGAAATTACAGATATCACATAATTATATCTCCTATATGATAACATCCATTTACAGAACAAATATTTACATAACTTAATATAACAAACAGTTACTTACCATAACATTGGCAGAAATTTCTCCTTCAAGCTCAGCATCAGACTGTTTCAAATTTATTGACCTAATCATCAAAACAATACTAGAAGTCTGTACCAGGCCATTCAGTTTTGGTGAAAAAGGACATACCTGTACAAGATCAATATTCTTTCTATTTAACATGTCAAGTTCCAAGCATTTGAACTCTCCAGCTTCTATAATATCTAACATTATATTCATAGTATTTCTCCAAGCTCCAAATTTTGACAAAATTTTAACACTTTTAAAAAATTCTTGGATTTTTATACTTTTATAATCTTTCAGAGACATCACGAAGGCAAAAAATTCTATGCCTGGGCCGGAACTTATGGAAGTGAAATTCACACCTTTAACACTCCAATCCTGAAACATTTGTATTGTTTCTGGACATTCTAAAAAAAAATTACTGATACATTTGTTCATATAATACAGCGTATTTGTTGCATATCTATACACATAAGCACATCTATTACTTGCTATATCAAAATTTGCATCACCTTTTAACTCAGTGAAATGAGATATAGCATGAGGAAGATTAAATTTCTCAGCTTCTTTTTGGATTACTTTTAAAAAAAATTCAAAGTACTCCATTAAGATTTTTAAAAATTAATTTCAATAATGTATATTCAAATCTTTCTCTTTTTTTTTAATGAAATAGCTTGTCTCAATTCTGCTTGCATGCACCTATTAAAAAATAAAACAAAGATATATAAGTTATCAGATACACAACAATTGCAAATGAAATAATATTTACAAATGCAGCGGAATTTAAACTTTATTTTACCATAAATAATAAAATAAAATTTTCGATAACAAAATAAGTTATTACCTAAGATGCTGTTAATGTTATTATTCGGATATCGTTACTGAATTCCTAAAATCCCACCGACTTGTATGTTGCGAGGTCTCAGTTTTTCAGGATGAATTGCATTTTAAGATTTTATGAAAGCATAATGAATGCATATGGTTAAGGACTTTTATTACTGCCACAGGCAATAAAAATGAATTACTAAATTCAAGCCCACTTCATTTACTAAAATTTATTATGCAATTTAAGCTCGAAGTTACCCTGCCTCGTATAATAATATTGCTTTGAATATTCTCCACAATTATAATATGCAATTGATACTTTGAGAGAAACTCCTCCAAACTGAAGTTAATAAAAAAACCATGATTAACAATAAATACACTAAGATCTCTTAATCTGGCTCTTTGGCTACTGAGCAAGAAATTACTGATACAACAGTTCTGTTAAACATTTTGCTGTGAGAAAAAGTAGGAAAATAAAATTCTATTTCTAGATAGTTTTCTGAGATAATTTATAACCATATCGGTTGATCTTTACATTATGGTAACTTGGTGTTTTTTTGGCGAAAATTTGGCGACCAACTCTCCTACAGCAACCCTCTATTTTTTTTCCCGCCGCCATTTTGTCTTCACGAGTAAGACATGTTTTCTTTTCTTTTATCTACTGAACACTCTTCCAACAATCTACTAGCCGAATTACACTTATGCTAGAAATTTTATCTAACAAAATGCTTATCATGACAAAATTCACTGCAAAATTGGGAAAAAGTTCACAATACCATACCCTTACGTTTTCAAAATAACCATAAAACATACCCGCCGACTTATTTTTTACTTAAAAAAACATCCCAGAATTGCACAAAAATGGCATTGTGCACCTCTTCCTATATCCATGACACTGCTTTTTTCTCATAAATTAGAAAAATTTCACGAAAATACATGACAATTTTATCAATCTTTAAACCCAGAAAAAGAACATATATGAAATTACCTGATCGCGAAAAAGTATTTACCCTTTCCAAATACATTTCCACATATAAATAAATAAATATCCAAAAACTTTTACCTCTAAATCATCTATTACATTATACAAGTCACCAACGAATCATACCACAAGCTTACAAATACTTAGTATCAAATATTTAAATGATTTTCCATGCACGTTTACTTCAACTTAAACGTTACCAATTCCACAAACATAAAATTCACAAAATAACTCATTAATTAAAATATCACTACCATGACACGCCGATTTTTACTTAAAAAATCAGAATTGCACAAATGGCATTGCGCACACTCTTCACTATATCCATGTACCTGCTTTTTTCTCATAAATTAGAAAAAATTTCACGATTCACGATACATTACCCTTTTCTCAATCTTTAAACCCGGTAAAAAGAACATATATGAAATAACTGATCGCGAAAAGAATGAACATTCCACTATAAATAAATAATATCCAAAAACTTTTACCTCTATATCATCTATATTATCGTCACCAACGAATTATACCCAACCATTACAAATTTATTGTCAGATATTTAAATTATTTCCATGCACGTTTACTTCAACTAAAACGTATACCAAATTCCTACAAACATAAAATTCACAAAATAACTAATCATTTAATTAAATATAATTAATTCAAAAACCTACTTAAATATAAATGAGCACATCATTAAATTATATACATAAAACCATTCGAATTCACTTTAGTTATGGCCGTGAGATCCAAAAATTCATGACCTGTTCACACAACACAGAATACCAAGGATCCAAATTCACGAACACTTTCACACAACACAGAATAAAGCCAAAACAAATTTTCCAGTTTTTCCCGATTTCCCCCTTTTCCGATTAAAAAACCGTAATTCGTCCATTAATATCAATGACATATCCCTGATCTCTCATTTCCCTCACACAAATAATGCGTAATCGGACTGAGTACTGCTCACATTATTACCAGTGCCAGGTAGTACCCTTTATCGCCTCCAAACGGTCGCCAAAACTACCAGTACCATATTGTAAAGATCAACCATTATATCACTCACTGTGATGAATCTTCGGATTATGTTAACTTGGCAAATTTTTGGCAAAACTTTGGCGCAAACCCTGCTACAACAGCACCTGCTGGGTTTTTTTTTTTTTTTCTTATGGACGCCATTTTGTTTTCATGAAGTAATGGCATGGTTTTTTTTTTTTTTTTACTCAACATTTTTTCCAACAATCTGCTAGCCGAATTACGCTTAGCTAGACTTTTATGGAACAAAAGTGCTTAATCATGAGAAGATTAGGTACGAAATGGGAGAAAAATGTAGAATCGCCCACTGCTTGCCGCGTTTTTAAGAATGCATATACACATATCTATGAACATCGACCTTTTTCACTTAAAAAAAAATCCCAGAATTGCATAAAAATGGCATAGCGCACACACTTGAAACTTTATCCATGTACACATCGACCTATTTTCACTGAAAAAGTCAAAGAAAATTGACAAAAATACAAATTCTTCTTACTCTTGTAAAAAGCGCCAAACAAATAAGTGGGTGATTCTTCACTTTCGCAGCGAAATTTTTTCAAAGTGCTTATTAGCTAAAATCCTGATTGGAATTTTCTGGAAAATGTCACATTACATGTCTCATGATCTCTCATTTCTCCGAGACAAAAAAATCTGTGATTCGGACTGTGTACTTCTCAGATTATTGCTGAAGTCCTAGCTAGTAACCTTTATCGCCTTACCAAAATGTCGCCAAACTACCTGTTACCATATTCTAAAGATTAGCCTATCATCCATCTGAAAATTTACCATTTTTAAACAGGCATTGGCCAAGAAACAGGAACTCCTTCTCGTTTCAATACAAACCACTCATACAGCACATTACCTAAATATCCTTTTTGAGGCTGCTAAGTTTTTCTTTCATTAGCAGCTTTGCTTGTCTCTGCACAGGTGGCAAATTTCATAAATTTTTCTTTCCGAGATTTAATATCACAAATTGCAGATAATCCAATGTTAAAGTCTCTCATTGAATTTTGCTTACTTTTGTCTTTTTCAAAACATTTAAGTATTTCTAATAATTTAATAATTGAATATACACAATATCATCCATTACACGTCGGCCTATTTTCACTTAAAAAAACATCCCAGAATTGCACAAAAATGGCATTGCGCACACTCTTGACTTTATCCATGTACACTGCTAAAGGCCTAGCTAGTAACCTTTATCTCCTTTCCAAAATGTCGCCAAACTACCTGTTACCATATTCCAAAGATTAGCTAATTTGTTCTTTGTTTTTTTCTATTGGGACCAAAAAACCAAGGGGCACTCAATTGTAAGCTTCTAGCGTTGTTTAATACAGGAAGAGTTTGCTCAAAGCAGCATTTACATAGATCTACTAAAAAACCTACTATTTAAACATTCTTTAATCTTTCTAAAAAATGGAAATGGAAATTTTCATGTTCAGAAAAAGACTAATTCTTTGCTCATCCAACCATTAAGAACCCAGATTGTATACGCAAGTGCACCTGTTGAATGACTGCCAGTATTGTTTAAAAACAGAAGTTTTAATATCAAAAACAAATGTTTCCTAGACGAAAATTTTATAAATTATTTCAAAGAGTTAAAATATATTTCGCAGAATATATATTCGCGTTAAAATACAAATGTCTCATATTCGAGTGGAAAATTGCATCTGCTGAACGAAACCGTCATTTTTTCAAGAACGTCACACACATGAAAATTACTGAGTGTAAAAATAATGAATATCAAGAAACTTATTCATTCTGTTTTAATTCGCGATTACAACTTACCTCTACTTCGATAATTCACTGAAACTCATCTATGTAAATATGTTAGCTTTGTATACAAAGCAATACCTTTATCAAAACTTGATAACAAGTAACCAAAAGTACAATCTCAAATTCCAACCAGATCGTTTTTTATGTTTGACGCCTGGTGAAGTCCAATGAAAAAAGCGGGTGGGGAACGAAGATCCTGGAAATTTTTGTCGCCATTTTTGTCCACGTAACTTAGCGAATTTGATGGCCAGAGGGTAAAATGCTACTTATCCAACAATCCGTTCATTCACCTTTTTATCACACATTTCTTTTCATCTAGTACATTAACGGATATGAAATTTTGTTTTCCTAAGCTTTGTATTTTCGAGAAATTAGTTTACATATGACATAAAAAATTAAGATCAAATATACTGACATCTTGTAATAAAGCTTTCGACTTGAGATTAGACAGACAGACCAAGACAAAGTAGACAGATGTCCAAAGAATCCTTAGAGATTCGAGACAAAGAATCTCTAAGGAAAAGAATGAAAGCTTCCATAGACGCAATGTAAACCTGTTTCGCCTCTGCGCCGCTATATCGAGGAGACACGGCTATGATTTATTACATTTCTGACATATTTATACTAATTCTCTATTATTTTGATCTATGAAAACAAAAAACAATTTTTTTCTTTAATTAAAAAAAACCTCTTTCAGTGTACTAGAAATTTAACCTTATTATAATTCCTTTTACATAGTAACAAATTCTGAAATGATTCATTTCATCTAATTTATTTTGATGTACGAAAACCAATAATTTTGCAGATTTACGTTAA